CCCCAAAACCCCAAAACCCCAAAACCCCTCTAAAAATGCTCAAAATTGATTTATGTGCTAATCGAATTTCAAATTTCGCATCATATCAGTCTTATGTAGCTCGTCTTCGGCGAGGCCGACATACTCATCAGTGAGAGGTGCTATGTTAGAGTAGAATCCTTTGCATTGTCTCCATAGGTAAAATACAGTTCAAACTAGGATGAGTAAGAGAATTCGAACATCAAGAAAATCGAGCAACCCTTCAGGCTCTTCTTCGTTTATTCGAATGAACTCAAAGAGCTTCACTTCAGATAGATTTTGAGGGTTTCTAATTAATACAAATGAGCCTTGGTAGCTATCAATTCCTCTAACATCTTGGTTTAAGATCCCTAGCTGTTCTTTCTTGGATAATACCTGTGGGATAGAGGATGTAGCATTATGAGAATTCTTGAATGGCTTGTAAACATACTTGACTCGTTCCCCAACCATATCATTAAGATCTAGAGCTTTGTACACTGAAAGTTTTCCGAGTGGGTCCATTGCAGCAACAAATCCTTTCAAGGGTACTACAGTAAAGTTTGAAGAGGCTTTGTCAGAACTAAGCTTTATTTTTCCAACAATCTTACATCCCTCCATTGAAGTTCTCTGTTTGCTAGAATTGATATGAAAAATAACCAGATGCTCGCTAGTGAAGTTAGAATAATTCTCTTGTGTCAGCGCATAGATCTCACTTGGTCTGGTCCGATCACCAGCAACATGTAAGATTCTAGCTGTCCCAATTTCACAAAAGATCATATCTGAGATTTGTTCAAATACTTTCAGAAATCCAACATTATTCTTGGTTGCGAACAACATGTTCAAATTATGGCGCTGAATATCGGTAATTTGGGTAGTCTCCAAGCGGAAAATATGCATAATTTCTTTTCCAGCCTTCAAGTTGATAATTCGGCCAGAATTATCAACCAGAATAAAATAAACAGTTCTTTTTACAAAGTAGGGAATCACTTTGACTACGTCAAAGTGTTCTCCCAACGTTTCATTGCTCTTCGAGAGAAATATTGAGATTTCCTCAGGAAGACTAAGAGAAGATCTCTCAACAATTCTGAAGAAATCCTCAGAAGGTCTCTCTGAATTGGGGGATAGATTAACAGAGAACCTCAGCATGTGAAAGTCATTGTTGTGACAGATAACAGCAGCGAAAATATCATGAGGATGTAAGCTTGGCAATAAAAATTTCGTACTACAGTCTGGTATTGTATGATTCAAAATAACCTCTCCCTTGAAATCTTTGATTATTAAAGTTGTATTGGTAATTCCATTAATAGCAAATATAACTACAACATGTTCCATATTACTTTGGCTTGGTATCGAAAAAGGTATGAAACCAAAATCAACAATATCAGTTCTAGAACTGAATTTTTGTTTTTCAAAAATTGATAATCTAATTTCGTTATATTCATGCTGTTCTCTAATGTTCCTTATTTTCTCTTGTTTATTTCAATAAAATAGCGTCAACAGCTTGATCCAAAAACGCTCCAGTCATTCCAAAATCCACCTCATTCTGTAAAGTCTCTATACCACAAATTCTACCCATTAACCACACTAGCTCAGTTAATTCTTAGCCTGCGCCCTCTCATTTTAGAACCAGTCAAAATCTAACTTGAAATCTTTGGGAATAAAGCGGGCTGGACGAACAGAGGTATGTTGATACTTGTGATTAAATCAGTGGAATATTTATAAATATATGTGCAGAAAGTAGGTTAGTTCCTATCATGAAGATATACTTTACAAAAATTGGCACTAAACAGCCCAAAGTCGTAAAAAATATATCTAAAATCAATCCTCTAACATAAAATTCACCTCCATACAAAATTCCCCATCTTAACCTCTCACTCCCACTCATTTCCATTAAACTCACTACCCCCAAATCCCCCTCTTCAGCCCTAAAACCCCCCACTGTTCCTCTCCAATCCCAAAGAAATTCCCTCACTCTCCTCCCAGACTTATTCTGGCCTTATCTCAAGGGCCAAAAATAGCTGTGGGATGGTACCTTGTATTTTTAGTAATAATTCTGAGTATGTATCTGGGATATTTTGTAAGCCCTATTACTATAACTGGGATGCATAACTCCTCTCCTAAACCCAGTAAATCGGGCCACCACCCAGGTGCTCGTAACACTTAAAGATGATTTACCTGTCAGCATGCAGACATAAAGGAGCATCCAAGGAAGAAATCTGGCCATTTCAGTCAATTTATTATAAAATTTAAGGGGTTTTGGGGTTTTGGGGTTTTGGGGTTTTGGGG